CTGCTGCCGCTGTTACATTCAGCAACAAAGTGCCTCTTTTGGCCTCAAATTATGGGAGGAGCGGTTCTGGAAGTGGATCCGCATCATGGATTCCCGGAGCCCTTGCTCTTCCTGCTGCAGGTTTGCTCAATAATAACTGTTGAAAATACACGCTTTTCACTTTTGGATACTGTTTATGTTCATCACAAACCAATGCATATTATTATAATTGCTATGCATTGCCATCTCTTATCTACGCATTTGGTTAACATCAGATTTAATTAAAATGATCCTAACCATCTATAGAAAAGGAAGATTAACTCCTTTCAAGAGTATTCTATGATCCCAACCATCTAATCAAGATTAACTCCTTCCTTGTCTCGCGCTCTCACTCAAGATACCCCCTATTTGTCTTCATGTAAAACGAGATGTCAATTGGGGTGTCAAGATAAAAGTAGATAATGCATTTTTAATTTTTATTGTGAAGGAAGAGGAGCCTCGTCCCTTGCTTAACAGTAGCATTGTGGCTTCCGGGACCTTTTCTACATCAATATCAATTTCCGGGGATCAAGTTAAGATTTTGGATGTAATATGGATTTTGTTACTTCCCTTAAAATCCCCTACATTGTGAACTATTTCAAAACTTCAGTCAAGCCTCTAACGTAATGAATCCGTGCTTATTCTTTTCATTTTTAATCCATTCCTGTTAGTTTTTTACAGTCTCCACCCTGGACTGTATGACATTCTCTCAGATAAATCACTTCGGAAAACCATGATTTAACATTTACCATTCTTTTAATCTGTTTGCCATGTGTACCAATCCTCCTACAAGATTGCATTTATAATACATTATTTTTATATCGTAGTAGTTTACACCAGGTAACCTTTAAGTTTGAACAAAGTCTCAATGATTTGCTTTATGCTTTGAATTATTCGGTGGGTTCTCAATGTTGCATAATATTACACTATGCATCCTTTAACCATATATTCTGTTGCTAATTTTATTTTATTTGTTTTGTCTCGTAGCTTACATGTTCCAAGATCAGGAGGTGCATGCAGCTGAGGTACGCTCAACATTTCTCTAATTGTATCTCCATATTTCTTTGTCAAAAAAAAAAAACTTTATCTCCATATTTTAACTCCAATCCTCGCCTGCTTTTTTCCTTGACAAATTTATAATATGCAAAACACGTGTTTACTTTTTATTACTCAGCTGGAGCGCACTTTCATTGCCATTAAGCCTGATGGAGTACAGAGAGGGCTGGTAAAGTGAAACTTCATCCATTGTACTTTATGATTTGTTTTTGAAACAATGTGATGGTCCCCACTTTCCTCTATGAGGTTTGTTCAGGTTTTGCTCACCATTTTTTTTTCCTTTTCAGATTTCTGAGATTATATCTCGTTTTGAGCGGAAAGGGTACAAGCTTGTGGGAATTAAAGTAGTGATTCCTTCAAAGGAATTTGCCCAAAAGCACTACCACGACCTGAAAGAAAGACCCTTCTTTGATGGGCTGTGTAATTTCCTAAGTTCTGGCCCCGTTATTGCAATGGTTAGTAAATAGAAATGACACAACCTCTGACTTTACGAATCAAACAAACCAGTGTCCCTAATCTGTCTGTTTTTTTGTTTCCCAAAATTGATGTCATAGGTGTGGGAAGGACAGGGAGTTATTTCCTATGGCCGAAAGCTAATTGGAGCCACAGATCCACAGAAATCAGAGCCTGGAACCATTAGGGGTGATCTGGCTGTTGTTGTTGGAAGGTAACTAAAAGCATGTTTGGTTTCACATATAAGGACATATTGGAAAAAGAAAAAAAAAAAAAAAAAAAAAAAAAAAAAAAAAAAAAAAAAAAGATAACGAGAAAAAATGAAATTAACTTTTTCATAATTTAAAATTAGTTTATATAACAGTTGAAAAACATCCTGGAGAAGTTAATATGAGAAGTTTTTTACAAATATGAACTAGCTAATTTTAGCTGAGAAACTTAATTTTTCTTATTTTCTTTTCCCATAAGTTATTATAAAAAAATTTGTCGGAAAAAACTACATAATTCCTTTCTTAACGAGTTTCCAAACATGCTGCAACTGTTCTGAAAAGAAATGTGCTGGTTTCTGTTTACATGATGCATTATCACAATTTGATTCTTATTGTGTGTGCCTGCAGAAATATCATCCATGGGAGCGATGGTCCAGAGACTGCGAAGGATGAGATTAAGTTGTGGTTTAAGCCAGAGGAGTTGGTTAGTTTCACTAGCAATGCAGAGAATTGGATTTATGGTAATTGATTATTTCCCTCATCCTCAGTGAGTTTTTGGAATAAATCATTTGTCAGCGGCAATACTGAACTCTAGAAGCTACAAATAAGCGCGATTGAGATTATTACCGTTATTATTTCAGTTCTATAGGAATTGCATTGTTTTATCACTCGGGTGAAGAGTGCAGATATATATATATGACATTATGATGCCAATATTTCAGAATAGGGTCAACTGTGTTTTTTCGGAAAGAGTTAAGAATCATTCGTTCATCCTATAATGGAAAACATGTACGAGAATTGAAAAAAAAAAATCAGATGCCTTGCAATAGTAGTACCTAATAATTTAATAAATAATTTCTTTTAAAAAATTATAATAAGGTGCATTAGTAATGTCAAATGTACTTTCAGTTTCTTAACAATCTGCTTAAGAAAAGATTATCGGTATATGGTGGCAGCAATAACGTGTTGTTGTAACAAATATAAAAATGCTTAACTTCACAGTCATTTATGAAAATATAATACGAATCAAGGTGGCCCATGTTTATAGTAATTTTTTTTTCTTTTCAATTTTGTCCCTTTTGTATTTTCTGGCAAAATGTTTCATAAGGAAGCATCGATATGATTATAATTTTTTTAAAAAGTTTTACTTTTCGTCCTTTCTTTACGAGAACAGTTATTTACACCAGACCTTTATGCGATACGAGAACAGTGATTTTTATTGAAGGAAGGATGCAACAGAGTATACTTGTTATACCCTTCTAATTAGGGTGGTTGGTGTTGCTGGCCTACATCCATAGTAAACTGTTTTTATATTTTCAGATAAGTAAATCAAGTGGTTGATATACTTGTTAAAAGAGGTTTTTCTCTATCAGAGGATATCCATGTTTATGAATCTCTTTTCTCTTGGATTTATTGGCATATAAATTCTTAAATTTAAATTACATTATACTAGTTATTTTATTATACTTAATTATTAATTTTATTAATTTATTTAACAATCAATAATTAAGTATTAGATTGACATCTATTTTTTTTTAGTTGGTTGCTCTCTCATAATCAGTCAATATATGTAGTATTTTGATATTTTTCAATTAGTAACAAATACTTTGTCAAGTTTCAATATTTACGTCATGATGCTCTAATTAAGATGGAAAGTTGTGATGAATTTTGTAGGAATTCTTGTTTGAACTTATGAGAATGAAATATTTTAATAATTAAATTTAGTACCTCTGCAATGTATGGTAATGAATATATAAATTTTAATTTTAAAAAATTTTCAAAAAATTTAATTTTATAATTACAATTACAATAGCAATTAACTTATTAGGATGAGTGATATTTTATTATGTTTAATTTTAGAATATTTTCTATAATTGTAGATTTTATGTTATTACTGTAGTAACATTTTTTTTTTGGAATCATAGTAACTTTTTTCTTCTTCTTAAGTTTATAGTATTAATTTAATATTATTTTATACTTTTTATATGTTATTAGCGTTGCTTGTATTCATTATTATTTTTATTTACTTTCCACTTGTTTGATGATTATAATATTAATATATATAATTTTTATATTATAAATATTATCCAACATTTTAATTTAATTATAATTTTAAATAATATTAGGAAATAAATTTTTCTTCTAAATATTTTGAAGTTTAAGATTATTGCAATCTTAATTAATTTGAATTTGAATTTAATTTCTGAAATTTTAACTTCACAAATTATATATTGATATTTATATATTTTTACTTATTTAAATATTTATATATTTCTTGTCAATTTAGAAAAACACTTATATCTTAAAGTAATATTTTTAAAACTTTTTATTTTATATTTTTGATTTATTATTTTATTACTATAATAGAATTTATCAATATGTGTAATATCTATATTATTTTTTATTATGATATGATTCTATGCTACAACAATGTGTTTCACTCTAGCGTTAGTGACAATTCAAAGATCTTAAGTTAGTAGTGAGTAAAAGTTATTTAAAAAATAATAATACACATCTCAAATGAGTGAACAATTAAATATAGTGTGTTACGTATCAAATTAAGAAGGACAAGATATACAAATTTAAGATATTTATTTGTAATGAGAAAAAAATTAAGAATAGTGAATTTATTTCATATAATAGACTGATAGTAAATAATTAATTATGTCTATAATTGATTGTTAAAATAATTGATTGTTTTTACAACTAAAAAACAACACACTCATACATTTTTCACCATTTTGTTTAAATCATTTTTAATTTTTTTTTATACATGTACACTTTAGTTGCCTCTTTTCTCACGCACCTAAGAATTTTGTATCAGACATTATTTACGCAAAGGTTGACTTTAAATTCTATGTAAACTAATTTGAAATAAAAAATTAAATATTTAAGAAAATTAGATATTTATTATATATCTTACTATTTTTCAAAAATACATAATATGGCATGTAAAAGTAAAAAAAAATGTTTTAATTGTTTTTTGAGATAAAAAGTTGGATGTGACTTA